ATATATATATATATATATGTATATAATTTATAATAAATAATTATTTTTTTTAATTACATTTCACTTATTTTAAATTAGAATAATAATTTTTATGTTACTTTATAAAAAAAAATTTTTATCAATAAGAAAAAAAATTAGGGGACACCCGGGTTTGAACCGGGGACCTCTCGATCTGCAGTCGAATGCTCTACCACTGAGCTATATCCCCTTTTGCTATCTTCAGTTTTTTAAAATGGTATTATAAACACTCTAATAATATATTTATAAATTATATCCTCTCGATAGATTTAAATTAAAATTAATTATAAAAATATTTAAAATACTTAAAATAATTGTAAAGATTACTCAATTAAAATTTATTTATTTAAAGTTAATATTTTAATAGTAATCGTTTAATAATGATATAGCGATAACATTTTTGAAAAAAATAATAAAACAATTTCTCAGATAGACAGAACAATGTCTATTAAAAAAATCTAAATATTATGATTATGATAATGAATCTGTCTTCAGTTATTGGAATGTCAAATGTTTATTATATATATTAACCAAAAAATTATGTCAATTTTTTGGCCATTAACACCATCTATACGTCACATTTTCATCTACTACTATTATCGACTATATTATCACTATTACCACTATATCGATAATATAGAAATCTTTAAAATTAAATTACTGATCTTTTTAATCAAATTATAAAATTATAAAAAATTTAGAAATAAATATATAATTTATTTCATAATAATTATATAATAGATTTAATATACAATAGATATAAATTCAATTTATATAAACATTAAATGAAGAAACAAAAGCAAATTTCAAATATATTTCTCTTTTTTTTATAACTCTTAATATTAACATTAACGAAAAATTCTTTAATCTATTTTTAATATGAAATTTTTATATTCACCGAGTTTTCGTGGACTTGTTCGTGACTGATATAGAAGTGACTGTTGCCCGTTTAAACGGTGCTCGCCTTCCTGAACCCACGGACATTCCGCTTCGAGCCTATAACAAATTATTAATACAATATTTAATTAGTATAATTCAAATAATATTTAATTATATATTATTCCTTATATGACATAAATTAGTCTTAAAATAATCTGTTCATATTTATGCATGAGAATACATGTGAATATATCTGAATTAATAATACAGGTGTAGCGTTGAAACCGCAAAGTGTAACATCCTTGACGAGATATCTTCTCTTACGAACACGAATTTGATCTGTTCGCGTGTGGATATGTATTAATAGTGGTTACTAACGAAACGTGTGCTAAATAATAATAGAAATGAAGGACATTCGAAAATGCAAAATGCAAAAATGCAAATAAATGCATGATCTAGAAATATCTTGGGAAGGACAGAATCTATCAGTGATTTTCCTTAAATTTTGCAATAGAACAAAGCATACCGTATTTCCTCCTAGAGCATCCAGTAATTGGCGAAACATTTTTAGAAAATCTGAAATTAATATATAATCTCTTTGATGTAAAAAATCTCGATTTATTAATTAGTTCAAAATTTTCACTGAAATCACAAACTTTTTAATCTATAACGCGTTATTCAGAGAATATTTTTCACTGAAATTATTCCGTGTCATTCCCGTATATATAGAAAATTCAATAGAATTCGAGGTAACATGATAAGAAATAAAGTAATCACGATAAATCGAGAAATATCTATAGATATATATATATTCATCAAGATATCTACGATAATATATCTTCGAATATTTATATATTAAATTTCTGAATTTAATAAAATATTGTGTAAAAATTATTTATTTTATTGATTAATTTATTTCATAATTTGGAAATTTGTTTACATTTAAGTTTTTTGATAATCTCAATAAATATTCAATTTTATAATAAAAAAGATTATCAAAATTTTATAAATTTGAGAATGTAATTATAAATATATGTATATATATATATATTGATAAATAAAAATTTTTATTATAGATTAAATATAAATGAATGAGTATTAAAAAATTATTTATAATTAAATAGTAACTTGTAAGTGTATTAATAAAATTTACCGGATTTTCAGTGAATATGTATACTAAAGAGAACTTCGATCAAAAGGATACACATCTGTATATGTAGCTATAAAGGTTCATCGAACTTCGTTGTGCATACGGGTTCTCGGCCAATAATAAAGATGCATGCACAGTACGTAACTACGTTTTCTACATACGTACATAAGTATTATCCCGTACTCGTGGCCTACGCGAAATGGGCGCACATACTAAATTCGCGATACACACGCAATTGTTATTCATTCTTTTATTAAAATTCTATTATTAAAATAATTTATGAATTTTTCTAGATTTTTATTTTTTTGATATAATATTATATAATTTATTTTTAATTAATAATTTAATATTCTTATGATAGTATTATGTAACTTAATCTAATAAATAAAAAATAACTTTAAAAAGTTATAAAAATCATTGGATTTTTATGTATAAAAACCAATCAGAATAAATATAGAGAAATAATTGTTTGATAGAATAATGTGTGTTACAAAATCTATTGATCCATAAGACATAAATGTGTAATTAATCTGATGCTAGCATTAAGTGTCGCGTAATTCTATTAAATTAGAATTTCTGTAGAACGAATTATTACTACTGTTTATGAGATAAATGATTATTATGTAATTGGTAAATTATGAAATTTATTGTATGAATGATTGAATATTGATATATAATCTAATAGTTTGAATCTACAAATTCAATCAATGATTTATCTGCACATATTTTGATTGTGGACTAATATAGCCAAATCTTTACATTGTTACGTGAGAATCTTTGACATTGATTTTTTCGAAATCAGAAAGATGTTTAACGTAAAAATTAATAAAATTTTATAATATATTTATATGGATTATATGGATTTATTATATTAAATATTGAAAAGAGTTATTAGCTTTGAAATGGATACATGAACAATTAGTAATTATATAAAAGTAATTAAAGATTATTTAAGATTCACTAAAATTTAATTGAATTCTGTAAATTGAATTGTAAGAGTTAAACTAATAAACAAAAACAAAAGATGGGGGATATATAGAATATCCTGATATAAATATCCATCAATAATTCCATAGGATCTGAACGTTTTTCCGTATGTATTTTGCCGTAAGGTGTGGCGGTGATTGGCTTGTTCCTCGGCCTACACTTTGTCAACGGGAGCAACAGCTTCGACGGTACCGAAGAGAACACCAGACAACCCACACACATAACACCCGCGTAAACGATTCAACGGGTCGCGTGGTAACCTTTATTATCTCCTGTCTTTCCTTTTGAACGCTCTCTAAACGGACTACAAAAACTATCTCGTGTAACCATACATACACATAACATTTCTATTAAAGCTACTATTTAATCTAATTCTGAAAATCATGTTAATTTTCATCAAAATTCTCACATTTTTTTATGTATATAAAATTCTAATGTGACACAACCTCATTATCGCACCTGTACATAGATATCCAATTTTATGGTTCGATGATTATAGCTAGTAGCAATATCAACTATAAATAAATGTCCAGTGCGGCGAAGGAACGAACCGACCGAGAAAAATGAAAATCGAAACGATCCGCGTTATTCGGCAGTTCAATTCGAACTGGCTACATCCATGCCATTCCTTCCACATTATTCTGCTGCTGACCTCTCTTGTTTCCCTCTCTCTCATTCTTCGGTTCGTCCCTTCGCTCAGCATCATTACAAGTTGCATATTTGCTATATAAATCAGTTGATTTTTGTAATTTTTCTTCTTTTGTAATTAATTACTTTTAGATAAAATAAAGAATATATAGAAAATAGTTGAGACGTTTCTATTGAAAAAGAATATTTTAAATAGTTAATAATACATAATAATTTTCGGCAATATTATTGTTGCTTATGAAATATATATGCTTTTTTGAATCAAATAATTCTTATAATAATATTATATAATATTTTGTTTAAATTAAAATTAAGTAATTATTTTTATAACTTCAAATATATAGATATATTTTAAACATGCAAGATTCAATGGTCTTATTTATCCATTTTTTGATTGATCACAATACATCAGTAAAAAAATTTTCGTTTCTTTATGATATTTTCAGAATTTTATGATGAAAAAAAGTCATATATATGTTTTTATCCCATTAAAAGATAGTTCAATAGAATGCAAACATGATCAGTTGTTATATTAGCTTGCTCAGCCTTGGTGCACGCAAACTAGGTGACCTTCTGACCTAATCGCTGTTAATTTCATTTTCTACGCATGTGCATTAGGTAACAAGAGAATCCCTTTGCACATGATAGAAACTAGTTGCGCAGAATATTTTCTAGGAAAACTCCTGTCGTGCTCCAAATACCTATTCGCTTCTACTCACCTGGCGAGATTACAGTTCGTGACGTCTCACGTAGATCTAACCATAGATCGCAAAATTGGGATCCAGTCTTGTTGTAATCCATTTTTCGCTTAATTTTCGCAGGTTTTCTCTTATTATGTTTGATTGAAATTTCGCCTTTTGATTATTACCTACAAGTAATTTTTCTGTCAAATATTTTTATTTTGGATGCACTCTAAAAGTTAGGTTAGTAAACATTAGTTCAAATTATAAAATAAATCGAATCAATTGTTACAATTAATAAAGGGCAAGATGTTATCTCATGATTTATAAAATATTTAGAAGTAATTCCAACTAATTACATAAATAATTAACATATAAATAATTAACTAATGGAAGAATTATGGCAATTAGAAAAATTAAAATTACTTATCGGATTCTATTGCGTTAATATATTTAAACTGTATTATCAATTGAACATTATAAAAAACTAATTACTTATTATACACAATATTCTTATATTCTTTTTGAAACACAATTTACTAATAAGAGACAAATTCTACGAATAAGATGTGAATAAATGTGAAACTGCATGCGCCACGAACGACAGCTTGCAAGAGACTGCCGGTTACAATGACGATATACAGTCTTCAACTTAGATGGATTAGATGGACAGACAATATAACAATGATCACCAATTATTTACATTATTGCGCAAAAATGAATCCACAGATATATTATTTTAAAGATAATCATACAAAAATAATAAAATGTCATTTTTTAATCTTTCTTATATTTTAAATAATTAATATTAATTATATTATATATTATATGTAATAATTAATCTTTGAAAATTATTTAATTAATACAGTTTTTTCATTTTGTTTATTTTTTATAAAATATTTTAAATTACTGAAGAAATATTTTAATATCTGCATATATCACATTAACATTATTATATACTACTCTATAAAAACTACTTTATAATAAATAGAGTAGATAAAAGAATTAATCTTTAATTGATGATAAATTTGTTATGTACATAACTGCAAGGGTGGATTAATTTATCCTTAAATAAAAATTTATCTTTTTGTTGTATTGTATTAAATATGTTTATATTTTTATATTTATTTTATAATTAATAATATCTAAAAAAATCAATACCTCGTTGAAATTAAACTGTTTGAAATAATTGCTTCAAGATGAATTAGGGAACTAACACTTTTGATTATTTATTTAAACTAGATGATCCGAACATATGGCAATCGTAGTTGAGTTAGATAAGATATATGAAGAATAATGCATCGCTTAATTTATTCGGTAAAATTGGATCATACATTATCACCATGATTGTGTCAAAATTATAAATTTAAGATACCTCTTCTAATAATAATATATTCTATTAATTCTAAAGAAGTTAAAGAAAAATTAAATATATAACACAACAACGAATTATCATAAAAAATTTTTGCTTTCGTGTCACGATATAATGAAAATTAATTAAATTATTATCTGAATCAATTAACAAAATTAGCTAAGTATTATTATTATTATTATGAGAATTAATTAGAGTAATTATATTAGAGCGGTTAAATTCTTTAAAAAAATCTTTCTAATTAATATATATATATATATTGATGCAAAATATATTCAATTTATATCTAATGCAAATAAGTAAAAATAATGGCTATCAAATTGCATTAACGTTTCCGGCAACTTCCTTAAATCTTAACCCAGACCTTGCTACTAATTTGATCAATAGAATTATATTCATAAAGATATAGCTGCAGCTGTAAGTACGCGTCATACTTTGGCAAATGCATCATAGTAAAGGCTAGTTTTTCTGCCAAACTAGAGCAGCGTATGCTAAAGATAGGTCGGGGATCGGCGTATGTACCTACAATCGGTGCGGACGACAAGGACAACCTTGGCCTTAGAAGTTTATATAATGAGGAAGCACGAGAATCACGAGCTCAGTCGCGTTGTTTCGTTTCGATCCACCGATTCGTTACCTGTTTAAGTTTTTTCCATCAGATGCGTTCATGATGCATAATTATTTCCATTTATAAATAACTATTTATATTTTTTTCAATGCTGAAATTCATTCCAATCAATCAATTACAATAATAAAACAGTGATTCTCTAGCAAAAATTGATGTCTTATTGATATTAATTGTAATTCAAAATAAATATTCCCATTTCATTATATATTGATATAATTCCATATATTATTAGAAAATAGTTGAAGATAAAGATTAATGAAAATAATTTTGAATAGCTTGTTAATTATCATTCCATATTTTTAATGTGGATTACAACAACCAAAAGATGTTTTGCATTGCAAAATTTCAGTGTTTGAAATAATGATAAACAGAAGAAGATTATTTCATTAGTGAATCGTGCACTAAACGGATAATTCGAGAGAAAATAAGGATATAATATTTGAAGAATATTTAAAAGTGAAACGTTGGAAACAATTGAAACGAGAAGAATGCGACTGGATTGTCTAAACGTAACCATGGTAAGTAGGCGGCAATGATGCTTCCGGTGTGCAAAGTAAAAATAAGTTTTTGATGTTTGAAAAATATAATATTATGAAATAATTGATAATAAGAAATTAAATTTAAAATTTTTAACATTATATGATTTTAAACTTAAAAATAGAAATTTAAAAACAAAACAAATTTAATAATCTAAATAAATTTATAATTTAAGATGATCAATAGACAATATGAATTATTGTAATTATAATTACAATATGAATTGGATCCTTTTTGTTTTAATATGACAGATCTAAATCTCAAAACTTGTATTACTATTTCTGGACAACGATGTCGATTCTTGATTAAAATGAAAATATATGTTCAGGTGACACGACAAGTCTAGAATTGGAAAGAGAAGATGTATTTGATTTTACTCTGGGCGTTGGTCGCCCTAATTGGGCACGTAGAGTGTAAATGCAGTCTAGCACCGATTGTAAATGATGAACGGTTGATCGCCTACGTTTGCACTCATGGCGACCTGAATGACCTCGATGAAGTTTCTAGCGAGACAGATTGGATTGAGTTCACGGTATCCCGTATTCATCTTATATCGGACAATGCGTTCTGGCGCTTCAAAAATCTCAGAAGACTTTCTTTTTACAATTGTCATATCAACTTCATCGGTCCTAATGCTTTTTCTGGCTTAAATAGGCTAGAATGGTTAATATTCCATGGGACCAAGATTCATATAATTAAAACCGATTGGTTCCGTCCTTTGACAAACTTGAGGAAACTTATTTTGGATAGGTAAAATACATTTACCCTTATGTTTATTCTATAAACAATGAGATTCAATATTATCTATTGAATTAGTACAATTAACTTTCAATAACCCGATATGCTAAGGACTTCGACGATGCCGAATCATCAAGTACTACATTGGATTATTTAACTTAACTATTCTTAGGATCTATTTTAACTTCATGGATTAAAATTCAAGGTATAGTTAGTTATAAAAACGATACTGATTATATAAAAAGAATTCGGTAATCTGATCTAATTTAAAATCTGATCTAAAATAAATTTATATATATAATAACAAAATAATATATACTAATATATAGTATAAATTGTAAATATAATCAAAATCTGAAAAGACATTCAAGAAAAGCATTGTAGGCTGAATTATTATACAACATATAGAAATATAGCATTTCCTTTTTTGTCAAACGTTAGCGTCCTTGTTGACATTATTGCTAATTTATTATTACGTAAAAATGATAATAGAATTCATAATTATTGCAAGACACGTCGGAATTGTTTACAGATGTGGCTTAGTGCATATCGAGTCTGATGTATTCCGTATGCTGCCCAGATTAGAAGTTCTAGGCTTGCGCGATAACGATCTTAACTGCTTACCGATCGAGGAACTATCTTACCTGCAAAATCTCAAGACCGTACGTATTGATGGAAATCCCTGGCTGTGCGAGTGTCAAGAAAAATTGAATAAATATTTCCGATCTCGATCCATCGTCCAAGAAGTGGAATGTTTGAGACAAATTAACATTTGTAGAAAATATCAATGTATGACATCCATTGGAGTTCCGATTCTTTCTTCTATTCCGATTACACAACAGTTCCACAACTTTAATAAGGTAGATATATGTAATAAGTAGATATCAATATGCAATAATAACGAAAAATGATTTTTTATTACAGGAACATATGATGATTCATAGAAATGAATTTCAAACAAATGTGCTCACTTCTTTAAATAGACTTCCAGATAAAACTACATGGATACAAATTTCTGGCTTGATAATAGATACGTTGCCAAAATATATTTTTTTCAGATTTGGAAATAGTTTAAAAAGCTTGGATTTGAATGACTGTCGGATTAATATGATCGAAAACGAAGCTTTTGCAGGTTTACATAAATTACAACGGCTTTCTTTGATTGGTAATCGATTACCTGTTTTGAATACCAATTGGTTTCGAGATCTTACCAATCTTCAACAATTAATTTTGCAACGAAATGAAATAGAACAAATAGAAAGAACCGCTTTATGGCATGTGAGAGATACTTTACGATATCTCGATATTCGAGACAATTTATTTCAATGTATAGCCATTGAAGAATTGACTGAATTGAAAAAACTAGAGAAATTGGATGCTATGGGTAATCCCTGGCTTTGTAGCTGTCGAAAGAATCTCCAAAATTTTCTTATTCAAAAAAACATTGGTTTCGAAATCAATACGGGTCGATGTAACGAGAATGAAAACGAAATTTTAGATAACAACAGCAATTGGCGTCAACAACAGGTATTATATTTCTGTTAACTTATTCAATTTAAAATTTTAACAAACAAATTTTAACAAAAATGACTTTTTTTCATATACATAGACAATTGTCCAAAATACTTCGATCACTACTGGAAAAATACACTGGACTTCCTTTGAAGATAGCATTAAACAAACAAATATATCGATATTAAAACCATCTCTTTTATCTCCTCCACCAGAAATTCATATAGTCACATCGCAACCTCCTATTTATACAGGTACGTGCTATCCAGAAAAAACTGATGAAAAATCTAGATCGATTTACACTTGTCGAGGTATTACATCTATTGAAGAATTGAATCTGATACCTTCAACAACACACACAATTCGAGTTATTTTATCTAACATCAAGAAACTCCGTGAAAATATTTTCACACGCTTCGATGGTTATTTATCAAGATTGGAATTTCGAGACTGTGGTATTGAAAGAATCGAACCACGCGCCTTTTTTAATCTTCATAATTTAGAATACCTGTCTCTTCGAAATAATCAACTTGAATCTATAAATGCAGATATGGTTCAGGGTATTTACAATCTAAGATATTTAGATGTATCTCACAATAATATATATCGAATTACAAATGATGTCTTTGATCAACTGCCATATCTTATTAATCTAGACATATCTGAAAACAATATAAACTGTATCGGTGTTGAATATATGGCCCATAAATTACGTTATTTATCGTTTATGGATGTTTCTAATAATCCTTGGAGTTGTCTATGTGGTACCAAATTAGCAGAATTTTTAAATGTACGTGGTATAAAATACGATAAAACATTATTACTGTTGAAAGAAGATTGTTATTCCTCATCTAGAATTGATATTACTACCAACCCATCAATTCTAGTGACAACTAATATTCCTCTTTGGAATGAAACTATTGAAGGATCCTGTACGATTCATGAAGATACAACAGGAATTCGATACCGATGTATAGGTGGTAATTTGTTGTTATTGCAATCAATACCATCAGAGGTCACTGCAATCGAATTTAATGAGGGACATTTACCACAATTACCTTTAGAATCTTTTTCAAAATTTATAAATTTGCGAGAACTCGTTATCAGAAATTCTGGATTAACAATAATAGAGCATGGTGCATTTAATAATTTAAATAATTTGAACAATTTAACTATTCAGGATAATCCTCTGGAAATGATAGAATCTTCTTGGTTTAATCTAGGAAATTTGGAAAGATTAGATTTACGCGGTAATTCAATTAAGTATATCGAATCTGGATCATTTCGCTATCTGAATCAATTAATATATTTAAATCTAGAAGGGAATGATTTAAAATGTATTTTTACCAGTGATTTGAATGATATGCCTAATATATATATTATTGAATTTTCTGGAAATCCATTGAAATGGAGATGTAGAGTTGAATTGGAACAGTTTTTAGAGGCTCGAAAAATTAAATTTATAAAAATTGAGAATTCTTGCGAAGGTAAAAAATTGGTGAGGAATCTTCTGTTGCAAAATAAAAGTGATGGATCTTTTGATTGTCCATCCGAATGTTCGGCAGCCATTAACATTAATCGATATTTATCTATTTTATTTATATTATCAGTATTAATAACACTAATCTATTAAAAAAATATTAAAATCGATATTTAAATATAGTACAACGATCTATTCATTTGTTGTAAAATATATTTTGCACACTGTTGTCAAATAATTGAAATGTTTAAATGTACCTGTTGTTATTTTTTTCTTAATTAATCTTAATTAATAATTTATATTAAAATATATATTAAAAGAATATGATAAAATTCTGTAACACAATGTTTTATAAATATAATGCAAAGATAAATGATTTAATAATTATTAATAAAGAACTATCAAGGATAAAAAAAAGTATATTTAATTATTGTATATTTTTTAAACTTATAATATTCTATATTCTATTTTATAAATATATTTTTCTCTGTTTTCATAAAAAATTAGTATAAATTTAATTTATAATATAAATATATTTATTGGAAAGTGTTTATTAAAAAAAATGCTTTAACGTGAAATGTTTTTTATATTTTAAAAATAATTACTACGTAACAATTATTATATCCAATAATTATAATATAATACTATTTCATAGATATATAAAAAAAGAACAAAAGCAACTATACATATAATATTAGAGATTATGATTTTAAAAATATATTAAAATATACATAAATATATATAATGTGATATATAAATATATATAAATGTATATAAATTATAAATATAAATTATAAATAAATAATATATAAAAAATTGTTATTTCTGAAAATAGAAATATTTAGCGTGCTATTTCTTCTCAGCGAATCAATTTTTGACAGTAAAAATTTATTAAATATCTGTTTCTTCATAATAACAATTAATATTTGCATAATATTATAATTTTTACAAGATTAAAAATAATAAAAAATTAGATTTCACAAATGAATATTCGATAGTGTTTTTGATATAATATATAATATTCAAAATATTTTCCTATTTCTTTTATTTTCGGACTAAAAAATTTGAATTAATTAAGAATTCCATCGCTTTCGTAGAGAATAATAATGATAAATAACTTATATCAAATATCTACGTTTTGCAAATATATATATATATAGTTTTCGAGATCATTCTAAAGATATGAGAATCTGATCTATATTTTTTTATAGATCTATATTTTTTAAAAATTAAAATATTTTATATAAAAATAATAAAAATGAAAACTTATATTTTGTTTGTGTTTACGCATCAAAAACAAATAATAGAAGAAAAATAAAAATAAAATAAAAATACTATATAAAAAGAAGATCAAATAATAGAAGAAATTAAATATAAGAAGATAGAATATTAGTTGTATAAGATAGAATAAAAATAAACTATCAGCGCTATCTATTGAGTGTCAAAGACATTTCTTCAAAAGTAGGATAAAATATAATAAGAATTGAAAAGCAGCGCCATCTTAAATATTAAAAATATATAAAATATTTTAAAAATATGAGATGGCGTTCAAGAATCAATTTTTTTATCTCTATTCCCTTTCTATTATTTGTTTTCTTTGTTTACAATTACATTAACTTTATTTGTAGTATTATAAAAATGATCAAACAAGTATAGTTTCTATCTCATTTTGTTAATATAAACATTAATTGCTTATAAGCTTTAATTGATATACTTATATATCAACTTTTATATTTATTTCTAAAATTATTTATAACAAAAATATATTATTTTTCACATATAATTATAGTAAAACGATTTGAAATTCGGTTTCATCTATAAGTAAATATATACATATATATTTAGATGACCCAAAATAGAGATCTCCAGATACGAAAGATTTAATCAATGAATTCTTAATTGATTATGCTTAAAAAAATAGTATTAATATATAATAATAAATTGTGATTAATTGATGATTGCATAAATAAATAATTTATCATAAATAAACATAATTAATCAAGAATATAATTTTATTTTTATAATTTTTTTTAGTAATTTCAAATTGATAATATTTTTGATTAAAAATTACTTTCCAATAGCCCGGCTAGCTCAGTCGGTAGAGCATGAGACTCTTAATCTCAGGGTCGTGGGTTCGAGCCCCACGTTGGGCGATTATTTTTATATTTTACAAATAAAAATGATAATTTTTATGATAGTTTCATAAAATTGATGAGTAATTGTTTAATTATAAATTAAAACATCTTTCATTTTGAATTTATAAATTATTCTCTCATCAAAATTATTTTCATATTTAATATATTTTAACAAAAAATTTAAGTAATTTTATAGTAATTTGAATTATTATATTTATATAGATCATGTATTTTTAATAATAAAAGAAATGAAAAAAAATAAATAAATACAATAAATAAAAAAAAAGATCCACTTTAATAGCAGAGCGTGGTTTCGATCCACGGACCTCTGGGTTATGGGCCCAGCACGCTTCCACTGCGCCACTCTGCTTCGTGAATAAATTCTTTAATTTTTCATTTTATTGAGAAAAATATATTAATTATATTTTAAAAATTTAATTTTTAAATTTTTTAATTTAATTTCTTAAATTTATTATATTTATATCATATTACTTTATTAAATTTATACATTAATTTTTTTTTAATAATGATATTTTCTAATCTGAAATACATGATATAAAAAAAAATTTATTGAAAAATATTTATATTTTAAATTGCAGAAATATTCTAATATATATTTCTAATATATACTTAAGATACATTTTCTGAACATCGTATAATCGTATAAAAAAATTTAGGTATTTAAAGGTTATCTTGTAATAAATTTTTCTAAATTATATATGAATGACATATTTATTTATTAAAACAAAATAAAAAGCATTATTTTCTTTTTTAATAAGAAAAATTATTATAGCAATTATTATTAATTATATTATAAAAATAATTATAAATTATATTACAATTAAAATTATATCATATGAACATTTTATGAAATATAATTTTAAACTATAAAATTAAATCATAAAATATTAAATCATAATGTTCTATAGATCAACCTGTAGATCTTATTTAATAATACTTTATACATTACCAAATATAAGTAATAATAAAACTTAAAATAAATAATTTAATGTAATAATTAATGCATTGTTTATAACATGTAAAATTAACATTTAAAAACAGAATTTATCAATTTCATTTAAAACTAAATATTTCACTTTATGATCAACCTTCTACATAATAATCAAGATATATCAAAAAATATACATGCATAAATTCTAACGTTAATTTATATAAAATAAAAAATATATCTGATATTATACATAAGGCTTTAAAGGCTCAGCATCAAACTTTCAGAAAAATAAAATTAATAATTTAATAATAATTTTATATTCCCATTATTTTAAAGTTATTTTTAAAATTCATGATTTTATATAAACAAATAAACTATCTCATGAAGTTTCTAATTAAATGTTTTTGAAAAAAAAGCAAAAATTAAACAGAAAAAAACAGTATATTAATCGATATAATATAAGAAACAAGATAAAAGAAAAAAGAGATAAAAAAATAAAAGAATAAATAAAAATAAAAATAAATCATTTATATAAAATTCATATTTTTTATTTTTATTATCTTTTAAATCTTCAATTTACATTTACATATTAATTAATAAAATGATGATAATATTGAAATGAAAAATTCTTATCTTTATTTTTATAAAATCTCATTTACTTCTATTTGCATTTGTACAATTATCTGATGAAGATTTTTTATGAAAATTCTTGCACTTATCCTTTAAACAGATAAAGTTATCTTTTGGTATAATGATTAAATTTTTTGAAGAAGATTGTTGCAAATATTTCTGTAGTAAAGATGAGCTTAACTGCATCCATGAGCATTTGCATGAAACAGATTCTTCTGTGCTTTTTTTTGTTAAACTTGGATCTTTATTCCAATAAAATTCAATATAAATTATTCATAATATGCCATTCAAATTGATAATATAGATTTGTAGATGCATACCAATTAATTTTAAATCTTCTTCTAAGATATCTTCATTAATATTAATCCATCTTAAAATATTTTTGCGAGTCTTAGAATTGACTTGTTTTACAATATATTCAATATTTTTTGCAGGATCAGGAGGAGATACAATTTTTTTCAAAACTGATTTATCTATAGACCATTCACTACTTTCATCACCTTTACATGTACAACAAGTGCAATTATCTGAATGATCAATATCTCTGCATTTCTCATCATAATCAGAAGCTATAAAAAATTTTAATCATAATTTTTTGTTACTAAAGAAGATATAATAACTATAATTACCCTGACATTTCAAACAATAACAACATCTGCAGTCTTTTATATAATTTTTGCTTAGTTTTGTAGAAATAAGAGATACAGTCAACTAAAAAAAAATATTTTTCAATAAATTTGCTATAAAAAATAATTATAATAAAATCGTACATGTTCCGATTTAATTTCACTTGTAGTTGAATATGTATATTTATAATATGTTTTAATGGAAGCAGGAGTCTTTGAAGAAGTTAATTTCTGCAATTGTGAGGAAAGATAATAAGGAATATTGTTTTCTTTTTCATAACAATTTCCTTCATATTTTGCAAAATACCATCTATGATCTATTTTATATGGTCTAACATCTATATTCTCTTGATTCAAGACTTGAGATAATAACATTCGTTTAACTATCTGTAAATAATCATAATAAAAATTATCCTAATTATTATATATTTTTACTGCTAATACTTTTGCTGATGAATGACCAATGCAATTGCCAAATATTTTCAGCTGTCTTAACATAGGACATTTCTTCAGTGTACATAAAATATTCACCATTCCATTGTCAGTGATTTTATTATATGAAATATCGAGGAATAAAAGTTTCGAAAACGGAATGGAATAACTTAAACTTCTGAAAATTAATTCAATTCATTATTAAGTAGAAATATTTATTTTTTTGAAAAGAAGTTTTGATTATGTCATTAATCTTAAAACTGTGATTGTTTCAGAAATAATGTGACCAATAAATATTGAATTATTTTGATCCATTATCGAATTTTTCATATTAAATTTTGATTTTATTATTTTTTAAAAATATCTTCTAATAATATTCTGGAAGTATATATTCGTTTACATTTATATAAATTAGGAAAGAAAGAGTTGTCAATCAATCCTGGATAGCTTAATGGTTAGAACAATCATCTGGTAAACGAAAAATTCCGATTCGATTTTCTTGTTCAAGTAATCCGATCAGCCAACTCTTTTTCTCCTATATAATAATAAAATAATTTATTCATTTAAAAACATAAATATTTATTATAAATTATATATATTAAATTATATTATAAATACAAAAATATTGCAAAACATTAATATGTATAATGGATCAAAGAAATTTGATATCCCTGGTTCTCATTAAATAATATACCTTGCACCATGATCAGTTATGATATTTCTGCATAAAATTAAAGTTTTCAAAGCTGGTTTTCTTGTCAACCATTTAGAAATATGATCAATACCATAATCACCAATATTGTTACATCCTAAGTCTAATATATGTAATGAATTGTTATATTTTGTATTAAGCATCATATTTTCAATATCATGACAACTAAAGTTGTATTTTTGTAAATGAATTGCTATTAGAGTATTATTGTACTGAACAAAAAGTTTTAATTAATATAAGATTTTTAAAAAAGTAGAAAGAAATATAAAATTACTTTAAGCATATGACCAATCATATCTGCAAAATGAGCAGAATCAAAATAATACATGCATTTTGGATTTGGTCGACTTATATCTAAACTCTTTAGACTTTTATTAGAAATTTCTTGATCTGAGCTTAAAACCATTATGAAATGTATCAAACTGGAAGCAGTTTGATTCACATCAGCAATATTTAAATTATTTATATGTTTATTCTTCAATAAAAAAAGAGCCATATTTCTTAAAGTCTATAAAAATTATTCGATTAAATTTTAATTAATAAATTAATTTAATAAAATATTTTAATAAATATCTTTTACTTGTTCACTGAATTTGTTTGCTTTCAAATTAAGATTTTTTAATTTTAAATCAATCCCAAATTTTATCATATAATTAATTCCTATATCAGAAATATTATTGTTCTGAATATCCAGATCTTGAATAATTTTATACTGCTAATGTTAGAAAATTTTTCAAAATATTTTTAATATTATAATAATTCTTTTTTAAAGATACTTCATCTTACAAGAAAATGATCGATCAAATTTATAAATCCAGGATTTGAAATATTATTATTGGCCAAATTAAGGTGAGTAATGTCCTGATTCTTTTTCAAAAAAATTAATAAAGCTGGAATATCTTTGTCTTGAAGATTTCTCCTATAATTATTTGTAAAAATATGAAATTTAATTTAATGAATAAGAGAAAATTTAAAATTTTATAATTTATACTTTTACTGACCCAATTTTTTTATTTACAACATGACCACACATATCAAGTTTCTTTTCTGTATTGCAAATTTCTTTACAAAAACACTTGAAGAAACATTGTCCCAAGACAGTTTCATGAATATAAAATGGTTTTACATCCTGCAGCATATTTAATAAATTAACTTTTTCACAACTTGTACATATACATCCAGATAAATATTCATATTTATTAAATTTCGTTATATTATCCATATTTATTATAAATTTTATTAATTCTTTTTAATCCTTCAAAAAAAATTTTTTAAAACTTTTATTTAAATGATATAATAAAAATAGAAGTTGAAATGTTCATATTTTAACTGGAATTATTTTCACTCATAAAAAGTTTTTTAATGAATCACTAATACATTTTCATTTATAAAAAAATGATGGACGACTTTTTTCTTGCAAAAAAAGATGAACCTGAAGTTATTCCATTAGAAGAAATGTTCAAAGGTAAATAAAAAATAATATTTATTGTCGATATCTTAATAAGAACAATAAATAATTGTAATTAATTTTTAATTAAAAATATTAATTTTTTATCAGCATATTGTGAAATGGATCCAGTTTCTTCTGATTTAAATGTCCAATTGATTCCATTATCACAAAGTGACAAATGGTTAATTCTGCTCGTATACTCGATATGGTTACACTAACAACTACAGATACAGGTCTTACATTTTTTAAATTTCGAAAAAGGGCTTTATCTTTTGAAGAATATTTAACATATTTAAAAGATTTAGCGGAATTTAAAAATTTAGATTTTGAGGAAATGAAATATAAGATGCAAATATGCGGGAAACCTAGAAAAAACTAATTAATTATATGTTTATAAATACTATATACGAATTTTATTTTTTAATAATAGTTTACAATGTTGAAACTTCCATCTATTATCTAATTTTATTTAAATGTTAAATCTGAATTGGTTAAATAAAATCTTTATTTAAAAAAATTTTTATATTTTGATTTTGATTCTCTCATTGTTTTATTTTGTATGAAACTTTGGAATTTAAAAAATATTATAATATTGTGATTTTGTATGAAACCAATTTGAAAATCATCATGTGTTAATAGAATTTCGGTATCGTGTAATGAATTTTTAAACATTTTCTGTAATAAACTTTTTAATATGAAAAATTGTACTTTTCACATAAAATAATGAATTACTTTGTTAATTTAAATATTTTTGGTAAATATATTGAATAGAATAAAATTGTTAAAGATAAATATGTTTTATAATACTTTTTATAATATGTTTTATAATATTTTTATTTAATTACAAGTTATATGAATCACAAAAAAATCACAACTAAAAATTACATAATCTGTAATTAAAATTATGATTTTTTTGTATTTCTCAGAGTATCAAAAATAAATTAATATAAGAAAAAACAACTGAAGAATATTAACGATAATATAACGATAAAATCGAATATACAAAAATATTTCAATAATCTTCTTTTTTCGTGCCAATAAATAATAGAATATATTTCTTGATATGCAAAACATAAATACTTTCTTTATATTATATTTTTTTGTTATTGTAAAATATATTATATGTTCTGCTGAATCCATTTTAATGCAGTTCTAATGTTATTAAGCGTAACTCTACCAAGGAAACTAGCAATTAATTGATATTCTGGCATAGTACGTCTTCCACAATATCTAGTAGAAAGTAATCTATTGTAAGAATTCTTTTTTTCAATTTTTTGAACATTTTCAGCTTGCATTATTTCTGATAGTTGTATTGTGGAATTGTGTCCTTCGCAAAGTACTTTTGTAGTTAAACATAAAAGCCACTGTATAACCTGTAAAAAATATTAAAAAATAAAATAAAATGAAAATTGTTAAATTTGAAAATAAATTTAAGAATATAAATACTTCATTAGTTGATGGTAATTTCCATTCACTTTTGAACCAAATGCTCGGTGCCCATAAGTGTAATTGTACAATAGTTGCTGCGGTTTCTGTATCAAGTCTCTAAAATTAAAATAGCATTAAAAATTAAAAATTTTTTAACTAAAAATATGTTTAATCATAAGTTAGTTTAATCATACCTTATATAAGCTTTTCGATAATAAATTTTTTATCAATGCAGAAATAATTGTTGGTACATGATTAGGCAAAGGTAGGAGATCTTTCTCGTTATAATTATAATTTTTAAGAGAAGTTCCTTCTTTGTCGTTATGGAACGGATTTTTCATACCAAATAATTCATATGCTATAGTTCCAATTGTCCAAAGATCAGCTTTTGAGTAATTGATACTGGTAAATGGACCAGGTTCTGCTGTAATTATTTCCGGCGCCATTAAAGCTACATTACCGCCTTTATCAATATCATGAGTATTGTAAGGTAGATATAAGCCATGACGTTTGTCTGCTAAACAACATCCAAAATCTGTGATTACCAAAGATGGGCAGTTATCTGTTTCTTCTGACAAATCTAACAGAATATTATCACTCTTGAGGTCACTACATTTTCAAGAACAAAAATGATATATGAAATAAATTATATAAAATATATAATTTAATTAATTTATAATATATTAACATTCTATTTGATTTAATAATATTGATTTACCGATGTGCAATGCCATGTGCATTCAAATGAGTCACACCTTCTAATAATTGAGCCAATAGTAGTATTGATTCTCTTGTGCTCAATCTATGATCATTTAAATATTGTTTCAATGTAATATCATATCTACAATAAAAAAAAAGAAAAAATAAATAAATAAGAATAAAAGATAATTTAAATATCTGAAATAATTATTTATGAATTATTTTTAGATAGAAACCTTTTCATTAGCAGAAATAAGCTCATATTTCTTCCTGAACCATGAGGATTAATGCGTGCAGGTAATGCATCAGGATACATTTTCCATGAATCCGGTAAAACTGGTACTTTATCCGCAAAAACATAATACATTGCTACAATATTTGGATGTGGTATAAGCTTAATTTTCTTTTCGATCATTTTTATTTCCCATTCAGATAATTCTTCGTCATTTAAATGTTTTCTCGCTGGAAGAGTTTCCCGATACATAGATCTTAAAATTGATGACGCATTTGATTCAGCATCGTAGTTAAACATCATCTTTAATGCTAATGGAAATACAGTTAAATCTTCAGTTTTGTCATCAATTTTTATTTGATTTTGATTTTCACTATTGGGAACATCATTAAATCTTGCTGAATAAACAACTGCTGAACATCCTTTTGCAATAATTGGACCAATTATGAAATTCTTTAAAGTAATTTTTTCTTCATTTTTAATCATTTCATAATTTTTATCATTTTGTGGTGCATTCCATTGCAATTTTGATATAGCTTCCTACAAATATTTTTTTATCAATATATAAAATTTTTATATGTTTTATTTTTTATAAAATAATATTTACTCGTATTTCCCAACATACTCCTTCTAATTCATCGTCTTTTGTTAAAATACCAGTACCAGATGCCAATGATATACCAACCAAAGCAAAAAATGGAGCAGAATCTCCACCAAAGACTAATCTACTAGCAGCTCGTCTACGTAAGTCTGCAGCTAAACTATTAGTTACTCGTTTTAAGATATTATCTACAAAGATTCGTCGAGCATGGGCCCCCAAATATCCAAGATGTTTTCCTGTACTTGATATATTGCTATTACCCGGGGGCAGACAGCCCTGGGACTTACCTATTTTAAGATTAAATCAAATAACAAAATAAAAACATTAATGTCTTTTTATATATATATATTAAAAACAAAAATACTGTATTCAAATATATAATATGATATAACGTATGATATACATATATTCATTAAATAACCTCAAAATTTAAAAAATTAAAATATAAGTAATATAATTTTAAATTCAAAATATCCGAAAATGTATGCAAAGATATATATATATATATATATATATATTGTTAAATAAGGATATTAAGTCAATTGAAACTTGTTTTGATGATTAACTATATCAAGTTCTGAGAATCATAAATAAAATTTAATTATATCTAAATACTTACCTACTTGTACAACGTGTATCTTGTCGTGATAATTCCGTAGATGATAATTAGAGTAGAAGCACTCAGTATTTCTAAAGGAATGCAGTAAAGCCCGACCATTTTGTATAAAACGATGGACTGCCGTCCGAATCGACATCTCTTTGCACTTCTAGGTCGAGAAAGCCCAATGGGCTAGCTCCCAAGAAAAATAAATTTTCTCTGTCAAAAGCAACTCGCTATTATTAATTCGATCGTTTCTTAATAATTTTCTATTAATTATATATATTATGATTAAGAAAGTTACAGTGAAATTCTTCCTTTCTTCGTTGATCGTTTTCGTACTCTATCGAACTCTATCGGACTGTCATGGAATCGAATATCCATTTCTATGTATAGGGTGTTTCATTAAAAAAAAAAATGAATTGACATAAAAAATGGAAATTAAAATTTAATAAATATAAAATTTTTTTATCTTTTTAAAAGAATTATGAAATTAGAGAAATAAAATTATGAAATATACCGTATAATTGATTTTTATTATTTCGAAGATAGTTATATTTGAAGAATATAGTAATTTGCAAAATTTTCTGATTTTAATTCTATAATATATATATGAAAAAAAAATACATATAAATATATTCATAGCATTCTAAACCTTTATATAATACGAAATTCAAATAAAAATTAATTATGCTTTAATTCTATCTAAGATAATAGTATATTAATAAGAAAAAAATGAATTATGGTAAAACATCAGCATAGCTTCATTATATAGATAATTATTTTATTATCATATTATAAAATCGAAAAAAAAAACAAGCTTAATAAAATATTATACAATTATATATATATTCTACATATCCACATAAAGTAATTAAATAAATTAATAACTATTTTATTTTTATAATTTTTTTTTTTTTATTAAAGTAATGATATTAATAGATATATATTTTCTCAAAAATTATTAATCTTATAATATTTTTTGAAAAATATTACTCATAATATTATTAATTTTCAATATCGATATCGATAAGCTCAACTATATATCGATTTATTATCAATCAAATTGCAATTATAAAGATCCCTGCGTGTTCCATCCGGACACATACTACAATGTGGCGTCTAAATTACAGATAAACCACACTCTTTTCTAGTGTAAGGATTTTGACAAATCTAATTAATACACGCTTTGTTATCTGGACATTCATTATTAGTAAAATATTCTCTATATTAGCTATTAAT